CGACGCGTTCAACGGCGCAGAAAAAGAACGAAAAGAAAAAGAAGAAAAAAAGAAAAAAAGAACGTCCGAAGCGGCGCGAGCAGTTGGCCTAACGCGAAAGCTAGGAAAACGTGGGTTTCGCAACGGGCGGTGTTGCAACGTGCCGATCAAAAGGTGAAATATACGCGACGATTTCGGTTATGCTCAAGGACTTGAAACGCAGGTAGAGAAAGGTAAGGTCTTCGGCAACTAATTCCAGCCTTCCTAGAAATCAGCGTGAGCCTTTCGAAACACAATCGAACCGCGGCGCACAAAGTGACCGTGACAGTGCAGAAGGACTATATATACCTGAATCGTTTCCCGGGATTTTCCGAGAAGGCGATTCCCCTCGGACGACCGTGGACAGGTAAGCTGTTAAAAACGGTTCCACACGTTACCTTTTCCTTGGTGATCGATACTCCCCGTGTAGACAGGTATCCGAAAGAAGACAATCCCCAGGAACATGGAAAAGCATGTTCCTACGAACTTCACAGAAGTTTTACCGTTAAATAGGAAAGCCCTGCGGCCTCCGAGAGATTGAATTCTTCTCGTCTTTAATCCTCGAAAGGCGGGACAGCACCTTCTGGGTCTGGCCCATAGTCAAGTTTCTTTTGTACGTGTCATAAAAAGAAGTTTTAACATGAGAATGTTTCTTTTATTACCTCCGCTCAACAATGAGGACGGTTCTTCCACGGATATGAAAGTGAATTTCTGAATTGCAAGCGAAGATTTATTTATAGCTTCGACCGACTCGCCGTTTCAGCGACGTATAAAAATATATTATTCGTTCGCATAATATTTTTATACGCGATAATCGGAGCAAGCTTTCCTTCGCGTTTCGTGTATATAGTTTTTTTGTTTTTGTTTTTGTAGTGTCGCTCGATTTCGCGATCGGGAGAAGTTCGAAGCGCGCGAACGGTAATCGGTATAGTTCCTTCGTTCGAATTTTCCGCCATTACCCGGCACGCACAGACACCTACGTTACCGATGCGGAAAAAGCTTGTACTGCGCGTTTTCACCAGAAGATAGAGCCACGAACTGCGGTCGCACGACCACCGCGCTGCTTCGCTCCCGATCTTCCTTTTCTTCTTCTATTCTCGATGAATCGCGTACAGATTATTTTTCTATAATTCGTCTAGTATATCGATTGCAAAGACAATTAAGCTGCTGGAAAAACCCAGCGTAATTTGTACAATAGGTCCGAAAAATGCGAATAAAACTTTTGCTCCCCAAGTTCGTTCTTTCGATTAGTGTATTAACTTTGAGATATTCGCTAATTTCAATTATTAATCGCAGTTTTTCCGGTCCCTTTCGGGAGAACGTTTATTTCCGTATGAAAACTAAAGATTTGAAGAATGTTGAGGAAATAAGATAGGAGAGACTAATACAGCCACGATAATACTCTGTTTCAGTTTTGTACGATTTTATACGGTTCATTGGATTTTGATTTGCAAAAAGTTCCGCAGCACAGAACTTGAAATAATTATTGATTTTTCTCTGCTCGAGAAAAAAAAAAGTTATCCCCGATGGTAATCATAACGCGAGGGGAAAAAATGGAAAATGTTACAGCGTATTGATTTATACTTGTGTCGCTGTTTATTTAAAAGAATTTCTTAATTTTCAACAGCTTATGTAACTTCCATTTCTCAATTAAAATACGAGGAAAGTAATTGTCGCGAAGATAATAATAGAACAATCATCTACAATAGTAATTTATTGATCTAATTTGAATTGAATGAAAATCATTTTATAGCGTAGAATCAGAAAATTCGCAGAATACCAATGATTTATCTCATTAATGCTTCTCATTTAGTCGGTTACACACTTTGCTTTTATTACCTACGTAGAATCTAGGAACGATTTTTATCTTATCCGATTAGATTATTCCTGTATTTGACGTGTTTCTATGGCTATCTCAAAAGTACCCAAAAATGCCATAAGATTTCGAAGGTTTTGTTACCTTAGCAGAGAACGAGGACCAAATCTGTAACTATACTTCGATAGCAAATCGTTCAATAACGAAAAAGAAACTTCCAACAAATCACAATTAAATTGTCCATCAAATACGAGCTTCGATAAATTCAATAAAAAGATTTTCCTAGTCCAAAAACTGGAGATATGGTATCATCCCATTGGAACCTCTTCTCCATTATCTAAAAATACATATTGGACCATTTGCTGTGAAAATATCGTTCTATAAACTGAAACTAACTATCGATGAATTTTATTATCCATAGTGATGTGTGACGTCGTTGTTATTTTCTCACATTAAATTCCTAATTCTACTTTGCATATTGCAAGAAGTTTCAAAGTTTGTGATTAAGAATTCAACTTGTACTATTTTTCCGCGTACCAGAGAAATATCTCGTTGGAAGTTAAAATATTGGCATTAATATAATTAATATAATATAATTATTATTATTATATAATTAATTATAATATAAAATAATAACATAATTTTCCACTAGCTTGCTCCTTAACGCCTTTGCATCGCTGGCTGTACACGAACGACTCTACTAATTTAATTAAGCGAAATGAATTAAAACAAAAAGAAAAAAAACAGGCGTTAAGATCGAATTTTCTTCTGGCGACCTCTATCGCGACTCCTTCGGATTTTACCCGAGACCTTTTATCCGCGTGTGCTCATTCGACAGGATACGAGGCTTAAGGAAAAAGAATTCGTCGACGGCCTGGACAGCTTAATTGGCTAAAGCAGTCAGCCGGCAGTCAAAGATCCGGGTTGAAGCGAATCCCCTACCTCCGTCGTTAAATTGGCAATTCAATCTCTGCTTTCCTTCGAATTATGAAAAGCGAGATTCCATGTTTATCGCAACTTTCGCGCGGTTGATTTCAAACTCGCGTTGGCTTGTTTGCAAAAATATTTCATTATTTTAACACAGAATATTTTCCGACTTTATATGTATCTGCGAGGGAACGAGCGCGTCGTTGCCCTTGAAAAATAGTTTCAGCAAAAATTCTAACAATACAAATCGAAGATTTTTTTTTACAAGAAAATTAGTTACTAATTTATTTTTTAGAGTTTCACGAATTTTTCAACGTTTTCGTCGACCGAAATCTGTATGTCGGGCTTGATTATTTCCGGCGAGAATCGTCCGAAAACCACAAGGAATTTCTCGCTAACGACCAACATGGCGGCAAACCGTTAATCATCGCGGCTGCCCAAACTTTCTGGCGCGCAACACACACCGTATGTATCGCACGGCCGATAGAATTAATTAGAACACAGCCGGAGAGCCTGTCTATCCGGTGAAGTTTAAATAGGCGCCAACCGTGGAATTTTCATTTCCTGCTATTGACTTCGAAATTCTGGGACGATCGTGAGTCGCGAGGCTGCGCCACGTGCGAATATCAAGGCCACGGCCGGCGAAAAGAAAAACAAACCGCCTATAGTTATTCAACGTGTACGCCGAGACAAGTAACGGCGAAAAAAAGAAAATAATACACAACTGTCGTTACGCGCGAAGAATGTGTCTCCGACGCCATTGCCGAATTAAGCGACTGAAAAACCTCGGGAGACTCCATCTTCGCTTGTGTACTGCCGACTAGTTCTGTTTAATTACAAAATCAGTGTCACAACAGGCGCTGCTGTAAACTAATATTTCGTATCTATCCGTGCCCTGGCTCGCGGTATTCCCGAAACGAGAACGAAGATATATAATTTACCAAGGCGGAAGAGAGTCTTCTTATATGAATAATTATTTATCGTTGGCCGAAACGATCCAGAAAAACAAGTCGTTTAACGGGAACGGTCATCTTCTGTCGGCGTGGTCCGCCGTACAATTTTCGGAGATATCGGGCGAGTGAATCAGTTCTTACGAAACAACGGACACTGATAACGAGTCTTGGCGCCGCAGCACACTTTAAGGAAATTCTTTCGTTTAAAAATCCGGTTCCCGGAGAGAACCGATCGATACAATAAAATTCTATTACGCGACCGACCAACAGGTTACGCAGAAGCGAAAAAATCGTTTCGTACCTGTCCGACGCTTGTATCTCAAATTTGTTCAATTGATCGACTTATAATTAGACTTCGAATTCACCTGCGTTCACGACGCGAGCGAATTTTTATTCAGAAAAATTCTTTGTTCACCGGCTGAAATCGATGACATTGTTATTTCGCTTTTAGCAGAGGAAGTTGAAATTTTATAAAATCTGGAAAATTTTCCCAAGGATCCACAGACTGCGTACAGGAATCGACATGAAAATCTACGAGGCAAAATGAAAGAATCGTATATCGCGAGTCGAACAAAACTTTTATTTAGACGCGATACAGAGAGCGTGATCAAATGCCTGCCGAAAAAAGTTCGGGTATTACGTAATTAAATCGAATAGACGAGAAGTTACTGGACACAATCCGAGAGGCGCGTAAAACCGTTAATATTTCAGCGTCTTTCAAAAGCCGATCCCTGTTCGCCGACGTGTACACGCGGGCAAGCGTTCGCGTCCGATCCGTCGACACGAGGCACCGTTATAATTGTTCTATAATATTTATCACGATTGTTTATATCCATCTAATCCCGAGAAGATGTCCATACGGCACGGACGAAAAGATTCCTGGCACAGCGCGGGCAAAGCGAGCGATACGTTTCACGGGTTCCGTTATCTTTCGGTCGATTGAAGAGTTTATTTTTAAACCGGAAGTAATTTCGATCGCTTCGAGCAATTCGAAAAACTCCCAACAGGAGCAATTTCTCATTCGATCGTACAAAAATGGAAATATTTGAGAAAAAGATCGTAAGATACGATTTGAAATGTGAATAAACGATTGTAAAAAAACGATGTATAAAATGTTATTGCACAAGTATATGTATATTGGATCAATAAAAAAAAAAAAAAAGAAAAAGGCGCGAAGTTTCATTCGTGCGCGTGATCGACGACGGGGCCGTGTCGGTAAATTTCTAACCTCACCGGAAACACGATACGAAGGCCGGAGATTCGTAAATAGAGGATGACTAATTTACCTCGTGGTATCGCCGTTTTTTTCTTCGATTTCCAAACGCTCCATTTCTTTCTGCAGCATACCACCTTCCGCAAACTTATCCATGGACATAGTTGATCTCTGGTTTCGTTCGTTGTAAATCTCACACAAAGACCCGGTCGGGGTTTATTTACAACAAATAGTTGGCGCGGTTTACCACTGTTCAATATATATATATATATATTCTACTATATATTATATATATCTATATATATATATTTCTTCTTTTTCTTCTAAATATCTTTTAATGCAGCTTTCCGCCGTTAGCTGCCGCTAATCGACTGAGGTAGACAAACACTGGCACTAAAACACTGGCTGATTTCTTGTTCGCGCGACCGGAACGATCACGAACGTAAGAGACAAGACCAAGAAAAAGAATGAAAATAGGACACACGACGTATACGCGATCAAGACACGACACGACCTACGTACAAGCACACTGTCCGTACTGTCCGGACAGTAGCGTCCTCTCCGTTTCCTTAATTTCGTACTCCTTCGCGCGTGTTCCTCCCCCTTTCGTCCTCCGCACGGGCCTGTATCTCTCCCCCTCTCCTGTTCTCCCTCCCTCTATCTCTCTCCCACTCCCCTCTCCTTCTCTGTCGTTCCTTCAGCCGAGCACGCTCCTCTCTCGATGTGTGTGTGTATATGTGTTCACCCTTTTCTCGCGATGACGACACCGAATCACGCGTGACCAAACGTTCGAGATGGAACAAAGTAGACGAAAAATAATATCGAGTCGGAGAGCAATGATCCGCGGACACACCGGCTGTTAGCTCCTCCAAGATAGAATTCTCGACTGTCTCGTTCTCTCTCAACCACCGCCAAAGGGAAACTCGCGCGCGGGTGGAGCAGTTTCGTACTTTTCTCCTTGTCTGTGCTCCTCGGCTTTCTACTACCGTTGGTCTCCCCTTACCCTCTTACCTCCACTTTGTGCGTCCTACTCGCGCGCTACCTCCTCTATCCGTCTTTCTCCGACTAACCAAGAAATCCCTCCACGTATCGAAGACGCGCGAGCACTTTTACCAACTGAACGGAGGAGACAGCCAAGAGCTCGTACGTGATTGGTCGCTCGAGACGATTCCGGGACCGTGTGTTATCCGGTTCCCGCTACTGCTCGCACGCACGCTCGCTCTCACTCTCTCTCAATCTACCTCTCTCTCTCTCTCTCTCTCTCTCTCGCTCTCTCTACCTATCTGTCTACCTATCTCCAACTTTGTCCGTCTGCCAGTTTTTCTCCGTCTGTGTTCCGAAGAATGATGAACACCGTTTCAAAAACGATGACACAACGGGAAAGGCGACCGAAAAACACCGATATACTAGAAAACGATGCGTGTGTCCTAGGCGAGAGTTATGTTCCGTGGTCTCGGTATGGTACGCGAGCACTAACTAAACGTATCGCCGACGCACGTGGATGACGATCAATCGGCCTCGTGGCGAAGACACCCGTGCCCGGTTTTACTCTGGCGTACCACGAAGCGCTACGACACCTGGCTTCCGTTCCCGTGCGTTTTAGTACGCGTTCGTAAGTGACACTGGCCTTTCTCTCCGCACGTAAACGTGGGTGCGCCCTCTCCGTTCTCCAGTTACTCTCTTCTTGCCCTCTCCCTCTCTCCCTTTCTCTATCCCACTCCCTTTCTCTATCCCACTCTCTCCCTTTCTCTATCCCACTCTCTCCCTTTCTCTCTCCCACTCTCTCTCCCTTTCTCTATCCCTCCCTTTCTCTTTCTCTGTTGCGCGCGCTTCTATGTTCTCTCTCTTTCTCTCCCTCCCGGTGTCTATTCTCGTTTTATCTCTGTCCAGCCCTTTCTCCCACCGTACGATTCCGTCTCCAGCACCCTTATCGCTCTCTCTTTCTCTCTCTCTCGCTCTCGCTCGCGCGCGCTGTCTCTTTATCCCTTTCCCGGATTTCGGCCGGCCGTTTCGATCACCAGTGGTTGCGATCACGACGAACGCGCGACGATCAATGGGAGCATAAATGCGCGTCGAGACAGAGATATTCTCGCACGAGGATTTATGCACATCTATCGGATGCGCAAGAACGTAAACGGGCGTCGAGGTATAGGGAAAAACGCACACACAGACCACACACACACACAGCTGGAGCAGCGTGCTACGCTGTCGGCAGCTATATTAGCCGGGATATCTAACGAGAAAGCGCGCTGGCTATACTGATATTATTTTTATAACAACGCGGTGCGCGGCCGTCGTAGGCCGCGCCCAATCTACCCCCACCCGGCTCGAGGTTCCCTCCCCTCCACTTCAACTGTTCCTCCTTCTCCAACTAGGGGAAGCTTTACCGTTCGTCCCCACCAAAAGACTTAGCGGCGTGCCGGCGTGTAAAGCCCGCAGGGAGGGGTGAATAGGAAAAGGCTCTCTCGACTATCCTGCGTGGGTATATCGAAACCGGAACGACATTTTCTTCCTGTGAATGCCATGCTGCCCCGATAGCTATTCTCGTCTGTACGCCCAACATGCGCGCCGCTGAGCAAAGCACGTTCAGCCGATAGATTTCGTCGAATTTATCGAACGAAAACCGTGCTCAATTCGATGCTCCCGTAAATTCGAAGATATATACCGGGTCGGACACAATGCCGAAAGGCGCGAGTCATTGGTCGCGAGCAGCGCCGCCATCTGATGGGCGCCGGTAAAGACTACAGCTTGTTTTTCCGCTCAACTCCGACGCGAAACCGAGAGTTCCAGCCCGGTCCAGTCACGATGTATAATGGGTTTTCTCTGTTTTCCCCTCGATCTCCAATCATCCGCCCTTCTATTATTGACCTGGCCGGGCCTAAATTCCAAGGTAAGATCCCTCTTTTCGAACAAACGGACGCCCAACGATCTTCCAACGGTCCATAACCTGATATGCCACTAGAGTTGAACTTAAGGCGTGAATTATGCAACAAGTGAGTGTAAAGAACTTTTTTTAATGAAACGGACTGTGCCCGAGCTTAGATTTCAACTTAAGTTTTGCTAGTTTCGAATAAGGAAACGGCTGACGATCTTCAAACGGTCTATAATCTGAGTTTACCAATTAAAAGTTGCATTTGAAAAAACATGAATTACAGAACAACCGAAAGTAAATGTTTGTATCATTCGAACGGACTGCAATAAAAATTTATTAAATAATATAAGTTTACTCTTTTCGAATGAGCACATGTCTTAACGATCTTCGAACGGTTCCTAACCTATTGTTCTTTTGTTACAAGTTGAACTTAAAGCGTGAATTATGCAACAAGTGAGTATAAATGATTATTCAAATGAAATGGACTGTGTCCAAGTCTAGTTTCTAAACTAACCTCATTCCTTTCGAATAAGTACACGTTTTAACTATCTTCGAACAGTCCATAACTTAACGTTCTATTACAAGTTGAACTTAAAGACCGAATTATGCAACGACCAAGTATAAATATTTGTTGAATTAAAATAGACCGTGCCAAGCCTAGATTCCGAAGTTCAGTCTTTCCAAGTAAGTACACTGTAACGATCTTCGTACGAGTCCATAACCAAATATTCCATCAGAAGTTGAATTCGACGCGTGAATTGTACAACAACTGACCGCAAATATTCTTTTAATTAAAATCGACTGTGCAAATTATACGAACTATACATACAATACAATATAGTATAATTGTAGTATAATATGAGCCGGTTATTTTGAAAGTGGCATAAGTCACTTTGTTTTTAAGTCGATATATTTAACACGTTTAACAATATGGATGCTAACTTTCGAGAAGATTTACTTGTATTCGTTATCTCAGGATACTGATATTTTTCTCAGTATAAATAATTTCGTATATNGCAAGAACGTAAACGGGCGTCGAGGTATAGGGAAAAACGCACACACAGACCACACACACACACAGCTGGAGCAGCGTGCTACGCTGTCGGCAGCTATATTAGCCGGGATATCTAACGAGAAAGCGCGCTGGCTATACTGATATTATTTTTATAACAACGCGGTGCGCGGCCGTCGTAGGCCGCGCCCAATCTACCCCCACCCGGCTCGAGGTTCCCTCCCCTCCACTTCAACTGTTCCTCCTTCTCCAACTAGGGGAAGCTTTACCGTTCGTCCCCACCAAAAGACTTAGCGGCGTGCCGGCGTGTAAAGCCCGCAGGGAGGGGTGAATAGGAAAAGGCTCTCTCGACTATCCTGCGTGGGTATATCGAAACCGGAACGACATTTTCTTCCTGTGAATGCCATGCTGCCCCGATAGCTATTCTCGTCTGTACGCCCAACATGCGCGCCGCTGAGCAAAGCACGTTCAGCCGATAGATTTCGTCGAATTTATCGAACGAAAACCGTGCTCAATTCGATGCTCCCGTAAATTCGAAGATATATACCGGGTCGGACACAATGCCGAAAGGCGCGAGTCATTGGTCGCGAGCAGCGCCGCCATCTGATGGGCGCCGGTAAAGACTACAGCTTGTTTTTCCGCTCAACTCCGACGCGAAACCGAGAGTTCCAGCCCGGTCCAGTCACGATGTATAATGGGTTTTCTCTGTTTTCCCCTCGATCTCCAATCATCCGCCCTTCTATTATTGACCTGGCCGGGCCTAAATTCCAAGGTAAGATCCCTCTTTTCGAACAAACGGACGCCCAACGATCTTCCAACGGTCCATAACCTGATATGCCACTAGAGTTGAACTTAAGGCGTGAATTATGCAACAAGTGAGTGTAAAGAACTTTTTTTAATGAAACGGACTGTGCCCGAGCTTAGATTTCAACTTAAGTTTTGCTAGTTTCGAATAAGGAAACGGCTGACGATCTTCAAACGGTCTATAATCTGAGTTTACCAATTAAAAGTTGCATTTGAAAAAACATGAATTACAGAACAACCGAAAGTAAATGTTTGTATCATTCGAACGGACTGCAATAAAAATTTATTAAATAATATAAGTTTACTCTTTTCGAATGAGCACATGTCTTAACGATCTTCGAACGGTTCCTAACCTATTGTTCTTTTGTTACAAGTTGAACTTAAAGCGTGAATTATGCAACAAGTGAGTATAAATGATTATTCAAATGAAATGGACTGTGTCCAAGTCTAGTTTCTAAACTAACCTCATTCCTTTCGAATAAGTACACGTTTTAACTATCTTCGAACAGTCCATAACTTAACGTTCTATTACAAGTTGAACTTAAAGACCGAATTATGCAACGACCAAGTATAAATATTTGTTGAATTAAAATAGACCGTGCCAAGCCTAGATTCCGAAGTTCAGTCTTTCCAAGTAAGTACACTGTAACGATCTTCGTACGAGTCCATAACCAAATATTCCATCAGAAGTTGAATTCGACGCGTGAATTGTACAACAACTGACCGCAAATATTCTTTTAATTAAAATCGACTGTGCAAATTATACGAACTATACATACAATACAATATAGTATAATTGTAGTATAATATGAGCCGGTTATTTTGAAAGTGGCATAAGTCACTTTGTTTTTAAGTCGATATATTTAACACGTTTAACAATATGGATGCTAACTTTCGAGAAGATTTACTTGTATTCGTTATCTCAGGATACTGATATTTTTCTCAGTATAAATAATTTCGTATATAAACATTAAAAAATCACCACTTCTCATTACGGTAAAGTGACTTGTGCCACTTTCAAAATAAACGGCTCATATAATGGTTAACAATCCGAAATCCTGCTAAAATGGCTGACATTCGTAAACGTAAACGAGCAACGTTAAAAATCCAATTGCATCCTAGACAATTCTGGGTATCGACGAGCATTATTTGTTTGAAAAAGAAAAAAATTCATTTCTAATCCCGTGGTGCTGTTTTCGCGGATCGAACTTGTCAACTATAGCTAAGAAATGTAACGCTTCACCCCTAGGCTCGTCGACATCAAGAGCACTTCTCTGATCAACTTGCATCCCGAAAGGGGGAGATTTTAAGTGCCCAACTACCAGTACTTTCTAAAAGACACCGCCGTGCGTTATTTCACGTACCTTCGATTCACGATTCATTAGCTCTCGAATCGACGACCGTAAGGGTTTTTTTTTTCTCGAGCCTACAGTGTAGCACGGAACATAGCGGAAAAAAGAAAAGGAAACGGCGAAATCCCCCGAACGACAAAATACGGATTTCTGGTTCTCCATGGAGGCAAAGGGTTGATTCCGTTACGGAGCTCTCTTTGTTCGGCCAGGTAGAAAGGAAGGATTCGCCTTTCTTTTGTGCATGCCTGCAGGTATATGGGTGCAGGTCGGCCACGGGTATTCGTGGCTTTTCTACGCTCACGTTTCATCGTCATTATCTTCGGCAATGACGAGGGTGTTATCCTTGAACTAGATTTATCATTCACAGGATCCCGGCCGAGCAACACTTGAATTTGTGACGATTGCGAACACCTTCTGGAATTGTATTTCGTTGGGCCTTTTCACTGCGGGAGAAGCGATCCTGAAGGGCTCCTACCGCGAAGGTTCGACCTTCCGTGAAGATGGTTCTCACGTAAAATAAGCAAATTCATGTTTATCGGTTGGGGACCAACTTCCTGACAATTTGCCTTCGTTTCTGTTACATCGAAAAATAGATCTCAAATGGCTGCATTCGATTTTCGCTAGTCGATCAAGCATTCATTCGATATTTTAGGCGATAGTGGGTCAACCGTAACGCGAAAGGCGACTTTCGATTCGTCGTCGATTCGTCGTCGGTGAGGATCCTAAGGTCCGGTTCCTTCGCATTTAACCTGAATGGTGCTACCACCTGTGCGGCTGGTGTCATAATCTCTCGGAAGAAAACAAACGGTGATTACAAATCGCCGAATTACGCAAGGGGGTTGCAGGATGGAAAAGAGCAACACACGCTGCGAGGGGAGTGGAAGACGTTGATCCATTATAAACAAGTAGTCATCCCAATTGTAATGTCCGCTCGAACATGAATCTTCAATGCGGTATGAAGCCACGTGGTTGGATTGTGAAATATTATTATTATTATTACACAGGGTATTGCAACGAGCAGCATAGATGCGTTTTTTCCTTCTCACTGTCGTGCACAGATTCAGAAAGTTCACTCTTCAATTTCTGCTTTGAACAATTTATACGGCTTGTGAATTTATCTGATATTTATTTTTGGATCGCCGATGTCGACCATTGATGATAGAACGTTCAAATTTTTACCACGTATGTTCGATGCAAATGGTATTAATACAAATTATCCCAATATTTTATTTCTGTTTCATCTACTGCGTTTTTATTATTTTATAAGTTAGCTAAAAATAGAATACGATCCAGCGTTTGTCCACAATTAGATTGAAGCATCTGTATGCATTTTTTGTTTGTTTTGTTTGCGAAGAATGTACAAGTGAAATACAGAGCAACGATGAAGGACGTCGGAAGAATTTAACAGTAAACAAAAATGACCGGTCTCGCATGTTTTATTTCGGGACTGTTGAAGCTCTAAAAACTTCCTCGTAGGAAATGTTTCGATTAATTTGTTCTAAGTCTAAGTAAATACAGTGTTCTCGTTCTTACGAGGCGACACATGTGGGCCATTTTTGGCGCTCGGTAGGTCTAGTCCCAACTCCTTTTTTCGACTGCCACGTCACCCATATGCATTTGAAAATTAATTTGTATTACGTTAGGTTTCGCAAAACGCGAGAAAGTTGACGCTGTGTAATTGATGTTTATCATTTCAATTAATAATTTGGTTTCAAAGTTTCAAAGATTTTGATGTGGTTGGCGCGACAGGCAAAGTGTTGAATAGCTGCGTTAATCAGATTTTTAAATAATTTGCCGTACCTGCAACGTTTCGAAGCCTGTCGATCGAACGAACGGAGAGAGAGAGAGAAGGTCAGAGAGGGAGAGAGCAAGAGAGAGGCCAGTGTCGTCTAAAATCTGCTTGTGCAGTTTTTCTCCAAGCTTAGGCCCCATCAACTAATTCCCTAAATGATCAATCGATTATCCTCTTCATCAAGCGTAAATCCACATCGGCTTCCTAGAACAGTCTTCCCACGGCTGGTGACTTATTTTTGCCCGGGCTCCCCAGAAAGTCGTCACCCCCTGTCGGCTATCATTTTCACGTTTACGGACTCAGTAAAAATTACTTTATCGAACGGTCTAGCGGGGACGGACCGCCGAAACGCGGCGTGAATTCGACGAAAAACGAGACCGTCGACTCCATTTGGGAACACGTTCGAAGAATCGAGATTCCAGAATCTGATAAATACTGTCCTTCGACCGGGCAACGCCGGACTCGTTTCCAGCATTCGCGTCCGGTACGAAAAGTACGGGCATTTTACCGCGAACCGTGCCGTGGCTCTTTGTTCTCCGCGGCAACAACGATTGGGGTAGGTTCAGGCAGTGTTTAAAGATAATTAATAGTTGCGCGCGGCTCGTAAATATCGGTATCAATGAAGCGTGGCCAGGAGGTGGCGTGGGATCGGCAAATGGTTTCCGGGCGCATAAAAATTAATGGATTCCGCGTTGACCTTCGCAGAAACTCGCCCTGTTCCGCAGGACTCCTCAAGGTTGACCGTTACGGTCGTCCTTACGAAACGGTATACTTGTTTCACCACGTGTCGGCCACGCATACAACATCTCTAAAGACCTACGAACTAAATAAAATCTTAAACGGTCGCACCGAACGTCTATATGTCCGTAGAGTAGTGGAGCCGGTTACCGTGGGGTGACCAATTTCTGTGCCTTCGGTTCGTTTTCGGGCACAATCAACTTTAGATTTATCGATCGAATAAAACGTATTAAAGTTTATTAAAAGAGATAAACAAAATAAGAGAATAACGATATTTAATGTATCCTATTCGATAAACCAATGGCACAGTAATCGGCTCCGCTATCCTACCGCTCGCTTCTAGGGATTAAGATTCGGGTTCACGGTGCTAAATCTTTATTCTAATATTATTTCAAGTCGACTATCGTGCAGCCTCCAGCGAACTTAAATATAATTAGTTAGGCATCTCTTATCAAACGTAATTTCCTATGGCGATGTCTCGCCCACGTGATTCCGTGGAATCGTGGAACGGGCAGTTTAATAACTGGGACGGCCGTGGAAACGAACGATCCGAGACGAAGGGAACGAACGAGAGAGGCTTTTACCCCTCCAGGGTGGACCAACCGATGGAAGGAAAGCAAGGAGGAGCGACGTAATTCGGGCCAGGAGGAAAGGGTCCTCCAAGGGGTGCACGGAAGACGAAGGGTGCGCAGGGTGTAGGGGAGAATTTCGGGTGGGGACAGAGAGAGAGTATCCGGGGTAAAGAGCGAAACGAAGAGAGACGGAGAGAGGGGTGGGAGAGAGGCCGAGAGAAATGCGAGGGTGCGTAAGGGTGGCAGAGCCCTGGAATCAATAGTGGCCACGTACCCTTGAAGAATTTTCGCACCAGGAGCCCGGATGTCTCAGGACAAGCTGGAAAAGCTTTCCCAGTTTCTATCCAATACTGGCCTACGGCGAACAAAATCGGATCACGAACGCGTTATTTTAAAGAAAATCCACGGGCACAGATTTTCTTTGTTCGCCCGAGATCGTCGTCGGTGAAGATTAACACTCGACGACGGGATTCTCGGGTCTACCTTGACCCTGAGGATAAATATTGTTACTATATTCTGTGCTTTCCGACAATTCGTTCAAATTTACGCTTTATTTACCCAAGAACCACATACTTTTTATTAAGCTTTATAGAAAAGAAGTTCGATAATTTCCATTGAAATAATAATGTTATTGTTACGTTACATTAATCCAAATAATCTGTTATAATTATCGCTGAAGCTGTTTTCTCTTTCGATCAAGGTTTTCAAAACTTCTCAACTGTTGCTCTTTGCACTTTAGAAGGATTATCAGAGGTAACTAAAACGTTGGGGTCCACGGAAATGCTAACGTGTCTAGAACGAGTGGCTTAAATAATATATGAAAATGATGAATAAAAGCATAAGTGATCCTGGGTCAAAAAATGGCAAGTTTGCACGCGTTTCGAGAAGATACTAAACGATAAAAGTAGTGTTACATATATTTATTATGCAGTAGTTCACGCACGTACAAGCATCGATTTCATGGACGTAATTGAAAGAAGCTGTCAAGAATTGATCGAAGATTCGCCGATGACACGTACAGTGCCGAGAATTTGTTGCACAGTATCACCAGTCTTCGATGTTCATGCGTGGACGACTGACTACACGTGTAATCCGGTAATGCCATTGTCTAGCCACAAGGCTTCTGACCGGCGAGCTTCCTCCAAGCAGTTGTTTTTTTATCTGTGCCAAACCGAAGGCATATCGACACACACACACACACTATGCGTTCTAAATACTCATAGTGGAACCTCGATTATCCGAAACCGTGATATCCGAATTTGTTGTTGGAATTGGTGTAATTAGCTCAACCCGAGGCGATCTATAAACAACGCGCTATTTGAGCGGCGCGAGTCACAGTTATCTCGTTTTGAAAAACACGAAGTGTTCTTTTTTATTAGCGCGTATATTTCTTTCTCTTGCCGAACAAACTTATTGTTAAGATAATTTAGAGTTAGGTTAATTTGGAGTTGAGTTAATTCAGTGTTAGCTTCACAGTAACTTTATAATTTATTTCACTCCCACGAGATCGCACACAAATTATTATACTACAATCTACTAATTATACTACTTTAATGTAATCATATAAGCTACTTCTCATGTCACAGTAAATCACCGACAAATCATTGTAAATACTACTCTAAAATATAAAAAAAAATTTCACTTGCTGTTTTAATATTTTAGCATGCATGGATTTATTGTAAAAACCCTAAATATTATATTGTTTGGACGTTCACGTTCTCGCTTCGTGGTTCTGCTGCATCGATTTCGAAAACGTTTAATGCAACTCTGAACTCTAAAGTCAGAGATTAAGATAAAGTGATAAATAAATTGAGTAAAACCGACGGATAAAATTCATACAAAAAATTGTTTAAGCGAAAGAAAATAATGTCTGCGCATTATTCGTGCGAGCGATGCCAAAATTTCTCTGTTCGGAAAGGCCTATTCGTCGAACACGACGTTAAAAGGACGTTCAGAATCAAGGAATGGTTGTCTTACAGGTCAGTGGGAACTAAAAGGCTGGGAATAATGACTCACCTCCAACCTCCGCCAACTTGGCCGACTGAAGATTCTGGTAGGGCGTCGCCGCTACCCCTAGAACAGGGAAAAGGAAAGTTGTAGGACACTCGAGGACAGAGGGGATGAAACGATATTGGGATGGCGGTGAATTCAGGTTAGGACGTAGTCCCGATATTTTCTCTAACGGTAAATGATAACTACAGAAAGAAAAAGAAAAGGGAAGAAAAGAAAAACGAAAGAACCGAATAAAAGAAACAGCTAGATATCAATTGCTCCGTCGAAACGGTGTATCGAGAGATTCGGCGATCGCTGTACGGCGTACAACGAAAAGCACTTTCTTCGCGGCACGGATATCGCGTTACGTCAGCCTGCGTAATTACAGAATACATTACGCTTTAGCCTTGTCGAAGGATTCCTCGGCGCAACGAAGCCTTCCGCAAATGCGACGCGACGTCGGATCGTGATTCCTCCGAGGCCGGGACAATGAAGATCGAAAGTCGGGCCCGAAAACGCGCGCGCGCGCGCGCTCGCGTCTCGAAAAAATTTCGTAGCGCGCTTAATTGGACGAGTCCGCGATGTGCATATTAATTGCGGTTTATCTGGTACCGGCTGAAAAAAAGAATTAATAATAACCGCGTCGCCACGATACGCATCTGGCCGGTCGGTCGGCCAGGTGCAGCGTCTTCCGTGATCCGTGCATATTCCGGAGGATTCTCTTCCACGGCGTCCTTTTGCGCCGGTCACGCCAATTAAGAGGCATCGCCGTTAAAATCACCTTTATGCTACCTCGGTACGGGCTACCGTGCAAGGTTTCAATTTGTCAAGAGAGGAACGTGCCGGCGCGGCGCGGCGCGATTTTTCTCGAAATTTCACTTTCACTTTTCTCCGATAACATCGGATGAAAACTGCATATCATTATGACAGCGTTACGCAAGGATTCTGCCGAGAATTACCGTACGGCGCATCTTGACACTAGCTCCGACAAATTAGTCTTTTTAGCGGTCTTGTATCTTAACAGTTCGGCCAGTTGATACGTGATTATAAGCTAGGACAGATGTCCCAGTTTCCGGATTAACGCTAAACCCACCGAGCGCTAAAAATGACTGACTCGAGTTTCTCTATAAGAATGATAACATCGAATTTACCTAGACTCTGTGTCATTTTTATCATAGTGTCTGTTATAATTAACACTATACCGTCCGGTGGCACCACGCTGGTGCCGATTTCATACCGTTTCCTTTAAAATCGTCGGAGTTACGAAGGGAGACGATTGAATAAATTGTTTAATTCAAGCACAAATTGTAACACAAATAGCAAGAAAAACTGAAGAAATTCAGTATTGACAGTCTGGCAGAGAAAGCCGCGTCGATCGCTTTTAGTGCTCGGCGTGCGTTAAACATCAGAAATCTTTGCAATAGAGATCCTAGGATAATACCCTTCGGTTATTATATAGTAAATTATAGTACAATTATAGTAAATATTATATATTACTATTATATTACTATTATAGTAATATAGTAAATTATAGTAAATTATGTTTCTAAATTTGTAAGCTTTCGGTTAACACTATGCCGTCCGGTGGCACCACGCTGGTGCCATGCAAAAACTATCTGTTGTATGCCGGTGGTACCACTTTGGTGGCATTTTAAAAAACTGAAATAACATTTGAACTATATTTCTTGGGTGTTAAAAGGCAGCAAACTAACTATAGCATTGTGCTTATTTAACTACGAATTAAGTACGAAAATTCTTGGAGGTCATATCTTAATTTTCGGAATTTATGTTACCGCCATCTTCTAAATTTTTTTTAAAATCTAAAATTTCCAAGCTATCATGCCGACGTCAAACGAAAGAATCATACCTAAGATCTGCGGACGGCATAGTGTTAAGGAATTTATTCAATCAATTCCAGCGACAAAATATCTCCATAATTTCAGCAATTTTAAAATGAAAAATACGATACCGGTTATTTTAACCTAGTCATTGTTTCCCAGAAAATTAGCAACCCATCTTTATTTTCTCGTCAGCTCCATTTTCTCATCTCTTTCATACCTCGTTATACGATGAAAGATTTCCTCGTAATTTCAACCGGATCCCCATACCTCGATTCTCACCGATTGTTTCTATGTGCCACTTGCTCCGATGAGTTATTCGTCAGCTGTTTTATATTTCAGTGGTGAGACTGCTCGAAACGCGATTGCAAGCTACAAGTGTGCTCGATTCGAGGATATACCGCTCCGATGGTGTTGATTAGCGTGAGCCGTGGACGCGAATTGAGCGGTCAAAACGAGCCGAAGTCGATTACGAGAATCAATTTTCAGCGTTGGGTACGCCTCCTATAAAATCGCAGCCGGGGCCTTTGGCGCGGCGCGGCGTGGCGTGGCGGCAAAAAGCGAATCGGTTCCAGTGAAACAATTCAATATTAAGGCGTCGTGCGTAACTCGACCAGACCGGTTCGCGGCAGCTGCGTTCGCCTGCAAAAATCGCGTCTTCCGCAACACCGTGTAAGATTTTATGATCGGCTGTTGTACCGCGTTTAAAGCGGAACTATCGTCGTTTACGGCGGCGAGAAAACGCGGCGAGGCACGGGGAGGGCGGCCGAGAGAAAGAGAGAGTGAGAGAAACAGGAGGGAGGAGGGAAGACGCCGAGAGGGGAGGGTATATAACAATTATTGCACGTCAGCGTACCTCAATTTCGAGATAATTAAGCGAGGCCCTTTACACCTGCGGATTGTGCGAAGTCTGTACACGCGCATACCCGTGTAATTTTCTTTTTACCGTGACGATCTCTGCTCATCTATGGATCTGTGACTGATAAGAAATCGGCTCGATAAAAGCGGACCACGGTAACAAAAGAAAAAGAACGGAAAAACAGAGTGAACCGCAACCGTCTCTCGGACGGTTTTTTGCTGGAGAGAAAAAAAAACGCTTATCGTCGAGACAGCATTTTTGCGCGTCCCGGCTTAATGTTCTTACGTGCCCTTTCCCTGCTACATGATTAATAGCTATTAACGAGGAGGAATGACCTGCAACAATATTACATCGCCAGAAAACCTGAAAGATTTGCTGGTCTGAATAGCGTCGTTTACTCGTGCGCAAGCTGTTTCAATCGCCCTGTTGTTACTCTGTGCGCAAACGTGTTGCGGAAATCATTGTTAGGGTAGTAAGCGCAGCAGGGGAAAATAGATTTTTAAGGTAGTTTGTATCTTCTCGTGTAATCCAGAATTTGGCAAATAAACTTTCCTTGAAATGGTAGTTACGCATGGAAATAGCGTTTCCAAATATATTTATATATTTATTTTATATTTTATATTTTATATTTTATATTTTATATTTTATATTTTATATTTACATATAATAATAGCGTTTCCAAATATATTTATTTTATATTTTATATTTTATATTTACATATAATAATAGCGTTTCCAAATATATTTATTTTATATTTTATATTTTATATTTATATATTTAACCAAGTAATATTCATACGTAATTACTAGACCGCGGATTTTATGCATTTATTGTAAAAATTAGTAGATGACATTCAAAACAAAATTCTGAAAACTTAACACTGTTTATGAATTATTTTGAACTTATTCAATTGATTAAAGAAAGAAAGCAACCCCCATTTGGCTCCTGTTTACTGTAATTGTTAAAGAAATGTTTATTTTGCAGATTCGCAGTCTAGTAATGGCTATTTCAAGAAAAGTCTGCATTACATGAGAAGATACCAATATTTATAGTTTATTTACTGTCTCAAAAATCTATTTTTCCTCAGCCCTGGTAAGCAGTCTTGAAATCTTCACCTTATTTAGACGATTAGCTTGTATAATCTTGATAGAAGTTAACACGTAATTCATGAACTATCTTCAATTAAGATTCCACAAGCTAATCTTCTAATTGAGAAACAAATTTCTTAATAATAATCAATTATAAATAAAACAAATTTCTCAAATGAATGCTTGTTTCATACTCATATAGAAAAATTTCTATACTTCGGAACCAATTGAGACCAATCTCCAGATATAAATTAACGAAGAATTTACAGTTTTTAAAAGAAATTGAATTCACTCTAATGTGGAAAGTAAACGGTGAATATCACGACGTAGAACGTTTTTGATCATGTAGAAAAAAACTAGAGAACAAGATACTTTGCCACATTTTAGGCAAAAATGAAATTGCATGAAAAAAATGAGTGTACGACTTCAAAGTTACAGTCAAGTGAAAAATGTATTCAACCCTTCGCACTCGAGACTATTTTAACTCCAAAATGAAGACATTTGTTTCAACTTACAGTATTTCCACTTGGCATGATTATCTTTATTTGATATATATAATTAAACGTGTTTAACCTTGACAATTTATCGAATACAGACAGATTTAATAATGTGAAAATTCTTTTGATAACAGTATAGCAATTTTTAGCGTCACCTCAGAATCGCCACTCGTGTGTAAAAGGTTAATCATTTTGTACGACAGACGTCTTATAAATAAAAGAATTTTAAAATGAAAGAATGTATGACCGGTATTTTTGACGAGCACGGTAAATTTAGTGTTAATCGAAAAGAAATCAATAACATATTATTAAGCAATCAATAACGTATCATTAAAAAATCTGTAACATATCGTTAAGAGATCGATAACTCGTCGGTAACAAATCAATAAGAAATCAACAAGAAGTCAGCAAGTAATCAACGCGAAGTTTGAAACTAAGAGCTGTATCCGTGATAACGTTTAGACATTTTCCAAAAGCAAAGAGAGCGCAATACGTTCGTGAAATTTCGACTTTACAAATAAAAGGAACCGATACATTCAATGAAGTTGTTAATCGCGCGCAACGGGGATCATTAACCAGCGAGACTTCCGTGAGCCTTTAAACTTATTTCGCTGATGCTCTCCTTAGGGGTTTGCTTGGTAATCGCGTTTTCGCTTCTGCCGCGTTATTTAAGGGCGTAAATTACTTTGCGCGTCTGCCAGCCCGAAGCATCCGATCGGTAATTTTGATCGGAACTCCACGGTTTATGCTTAAAGGCTCTTCCACGCCGGTTCCAGTTATTTACATAGCAAATTATACTGCCCGAATTCGCGGAAATTTTGCAACTACCAGTGCAGAGGCCCGATCCAGTTCCATTCGCCTGAACTGGCTCTGCGTATTCTATAAATTCAGATAAGAGAGAAAGAGAGAGAGAGAGTAGTAACTAATTAACTTTTAAAGAGATAAATCGAAACATCGAATATCAAGATTTAGTGTCAGAATTTTGTCACTTAAAAAATACGTACGAGTTTCATTGAAATCTGTGGAGTTAATTACCTTTCAATTACAAAATAACATAATTGACTCTTAATTATGGTGTCAGACATACTGTGGAATTTCTGAATCATTTATGATTTCAGTTGTGTACTAGAAAATTTCTGATATTTATTTTTACATTTCATTTACCGGAAGCCTATTTAATAGGATTTTTTATTACAATTCTATACCGAGAAGGTCCGTAACAATTTTTTTTAACATGAAAATCCAAAATAATTGATTAGATTACGCTATTTGTTTGTACAGAATCGAAATGTCGTTTGCCAATGCACAGTTTATTAACACCACTAACACAGTAACTAAGAACAGTACTGAACCTCTGAACTAAGAGGAGTTCCATAATTTTTTTTCAAATAATAATTTCAAAAGAACATTTTATTAATCTACATAATTCGATGGATCATAGATTATTACAGTCTTGGAACAATTTTTTATGCAATTCCTGAGTATCGACTTTAGAAGAATTATTAGGAAACTGCTGGTGGATAAAGTGTTAACTAGTTCCTTACACGAAATTGTAGATAATTGACATCAAGGTGATCCGAAGGTCATAGTGTAACAGGTCGTTGAATTCGTGTTGACACAAGCTACAATAATATCAATATAAAATATGCACTATACAATTTTAAAAAATTAAGTTAACCTTGATTCTTTCGAATAAAACGTTTTTCCCGCCATTTCTGATATCGCAATCTGTAGCTGACCAAAAACCGATCAAATTTTGTTAGGAACATTTGTTTGTCAGACCGTCGGAATTGCTGGAAAAATCGTTAAATCGACGCAACCGTGTTCGAAGAAACCGTGCAGATTTTACTCCACAAAGGGAGGACATTTGGGAGCATCAAGATACGTATGGGACAGCGAACGAGGGTTAATACTTATCCGGAGAATGAACATGTCAATGAAGGAACGGCTAAAGCGACCTATGTCAAAGAAGAACCAGGTGTCTACCCGCCGATAGAACTTTCTTCGTAGAGCAACTTCGTGGAACGCTGGTCGGCCACGTGTGTGAACGCAGCTGTACGAGGCCGAGTATCGAGCTCCTTCTCATTAGGATATCGTCCCTCGAGGCTCGCAGGAAGATACTTTAAGGAAACATCGGAACGTGCGGTCCTACCGGATGGGTCCCGATGTATCGTTTTTACTTTCGCTTCCTCAACCTGAGAAGCTATCCTGCTCCTTGCAGACAAGAGGATCGCCCCGGCACCCGGCCGAAAGGGTAGCAACAGAGAGAGAAGCGAAGGCCGGCGATCCAGTTGTCTATTATATTTAACCGAGTCATAGCTATAGATACACGCGTCAATTCACCGAGAGTCGTTAAACTGGGGAGCACACTGTATATACAATAATCCAGTTTCGACCCATTAAAGTTTGCATTAATCAAGTTTTATTTCGCTCGTCAGCTACAAAACAAGATGTTAAACGAGTATTATGGACCGCGTATTTTATGCATTTACGACAATGTCGAATTATTCATGGAAGGAAGGTATCCAGCGTATGTTTCTTAGAATTAACATAGATAATTTGTATCTTGTAGAGAAAGATTCGCGGTATTATTATCGGGCTGCGGATTGTCATGCATCTACGGCAAAGATGAGCGAGAGCAATTTAACCCTTTGCACTCGAAGCCATTTTAACTCCGAATTCGAAATAGTTCTTCCGACTAACAGTATTTCCATTTTGTATGACTTAAGTGCATCTTTAAAGTGTAATGCAACTGTTCAAAGTGTAATTATTTCATACATATGCATATATATTAACATATTAGATTGGTGGTAGAAAACGTCGTTTCCTTATTTATACTTTCTAACTAGCACAAACTTAGCATAAGTAATGTAATTACGACAAAGATGAGTGAGAGCAATTTAACCCTTTGCACTCGAAGCCATTTTAACTCCGAATTCGAAATAGTTTTTCCAACTTACAGTATTTCCTACATATAGATTAACATATTAGATTGGTGGTAGAAAACGTCGTTTCTTTATTTATACTTTCTAACTAGCAAAAACTTAGCATAAGTAATGTAATCATTGTAGTCATCACTAAATAATCATTGAGGAAGATGCATACAATCGTTCGCCAAAATTATTTAGATTATATAATGCGTGTTAAGCTCTAGGCATGGTTAACATTTAATATTAGAACTACCAAATTTTGGAATGCGAACAACGTATATTATATTATAACAATGATAAGATTTGCCTAAACGTATTCAAACCTTGTACGGTATCTATTGTAATATATGCTCTAATAAAGAAGATTATCTAGAAATTCCTCACAGAAACATTTTTATTTCGACTGGTTTTATAATTCTTGTGTTAAAAAGATTTGAATATTAATTTAAGAACAAATAAAGTGTAATATAGGAATAATTATATATTAACAAATTAAAGTATATTATAGAGTTTAGCAAAGAAGCTTTTACGTTGTTAATGATATCCAAACGAAAATTTAACAAGATACATTTGTACATTTCTCTATTAGAAATAATAGAAAATAAAATTAGACAAATACAATATCTTGTTAATTTTTTTTTTTTAATATCAAGGGTGTCTCAGCTAAAGGTGCTGCGAATAATTACAAACTCAAAGTAACTTCGACTGATGTTCAAACGAAAACCAAAAAAGAAAGACTATATTTGTATATTTGTATTTTCTATTATTTCTAATATAGAAATATACAAATTTGATGTTCGAATAAGTTTTTGTTTAAACATCACTAGAAATGTAAAAGTTAATTATAGACTCAATAATTATACCTATCACTGTATATATAACTACTAATAGTAGAATAAACTAGTATAAATAGTATTTTAATTTATAATAAAATAGTATTTTGTAATCAACGCGAAACAATTGCAACTACTCAAATGAAGTGTGTGGTAATAATCAATTAACATCACACGCGAAGAAGAGCGTTAGACGTCGAAATTATTCTGGAAACAAGACAATAACATAGGCGGTAGAAATGAGCTGAAGAAGGAGAGCAAATAAACGTTCTGACAAACTATCCTGCTCATTCGGACTAGCAGGACCGCATGCTTCGAATTCTTTGGAAGAAATCCAAAGATTACACTTTCCTACGTTCGCTGTTACTGCAATCGAAAAAAACACCGTTTTATCTCAGAGAATATTCATGGCCTTTGAGAAACGCTCTGAAAGCCGCATATTCGAATCGAAAAGTTCACCTCGGTAAAAGTTCGCTGGGGCAAAGATAAAGTAGTACGTATAAAGTCTCCAGAGGGTCGCCGGCGCTTGCGCAGAAGTGCAATTGCAATGCACGCGGATGCAACAAGTGCAAGCGATGTGCCATAAATCGTGCGCGGCTTGATACCGAGCCGGGCACGGCGAAGCGTTTAAATTAAAATTAATCGAAGATTTCGAGAACGTCGCACGGCGACGGGGATTAATTAAAATTCATAAGGAAAAATATTACGATAAAGGAGACGAACATGATCAAGCGACAAGAAAATTATGTGACGCGACATCACTTAACCGAGTGAAGGGATCTCGCCTGTGCGAAGAAGGTTCAGCGGCTCATATTATGTACAGCCTTATCGATCAACATCGACGATTCTTATCGATATTATAGAATCAGTCGTAAATATGTTATAATGCAATACGACAACGTTAATGGAATGGCTGGCCGCGGAGTATCGGTGTAATTACTGCCTGCGAAATTTATGCTGTTGATACGGATTTCAGATACGAGATTCTGCAAAGGGAAGGAAAAGTTGCTTTATGAATTTTATACGGTGACGTAAGAATCCTATTTGTCACGGAAGAAATGATCGATATAACCTATCGTCGACGCATCGAGGACCAATTACACAGCATCATCGAACGCAGCACGAAGATTATTAACACGTTCCGTGCCATGTGTACCATCGATGGTACATGCTTACATGTTTCTTTAATGCGTTAACAAAATAGTTTGTAGCAAATATAGAACCGAAGAATTAATTCCACCGCAAGAATGGGTCATGATAAGTTTGTTTTATTATTACATACGATGATTAATAATTACATATAATATATCAAGTTTTAGTAAAATATCAAATGGCCAGCGTGAAAAGTCGAGTAAAAACAACTCGGCACAGAACGTGTTAATGTGCAACGGACTCAACTTAAAACGTTGCACCGTAAAAACGCGACTGCAGATTTCATGCGTTTATGGCAAATATGAATAGATGAAGTACAAAATTGTAATTGGTAGACCGCGGATTTTTATGCGAAATAAATATTGTCCGCATCAATTACAAGATATAGAAACTAAATAGCAATTTCGTTCTTCCTTGAATCGTTTTAATAGATTGAAAATAATACACATGCACGCTGACATTTAAAAATTTCTTTAACCATCTTTTACTATTTGAGATTATGCCTGCTGAAAAATTGAACAAAAATGCAGAAAATCCGCAGCCTAGTAATGACATTAGAAGAATTTAAAAGATCGTTTCATTATTTTCAACTTCTTACGATGAATTAACTTCGATAGTTTCTATTTTGCAACTCATTACTCATTTTAACTCATTAAAATTATTGAAGGTAGCAATAAATGTCCATGCCTTCCCTGTTTATTGCAATCGGTGCACAAAAGTTTTATTTTGCATAATGATCGGCAGTCTGACCATAAATGCATAAAATCCGCCAACTTACAGCGGTTTGAGTAATTATAAACTAATTATTACTCTTTTAGCGATATTTAGACAAAAACTTAACGATACATTATATTTGTATATTTGCTATTTTCTATTATTTCACAGCACTGTACATGGTCCCTCTTAACTGAGACACCGTGTATTTAAAGAAAAAGATAGAACATCGTCGTTCGTATTGTAAATAAAAAATAGAATTATACAAATACGACATAACAAATACTTATTATGTCTTTTTCTTGAATCTAAAAGATGTCTCAGCTAAAAAGTAAGCCACCTACAATGCTGTGAATAATTATAAACTCCAAGTAACATTTACATTTTCACCGATGTTCAAACAAAAGCCAAAAAAGAATCATATTCGTATATTTCTATTTTCTATTATTTCTGATATAGAAATATGTAAATATGATGCTCTATTAAGTATTTGCTCAAATATCACTAAAAATGTATCTAAATCTAAAAGGTGTCTCAGCTAAAAAGTAAGCCACCTACAATGCTGTGAATAATTATAAACTCCAAGTAACATTTACATTTTCACCGATGTTCAAACAAAAGCCAAAAAAGAATCATATTCGTATATTTCTATTTTCTATTATTTCTGATATAGAAATATGTAAATATGATGCTCTATTAAGTATTTGCTCAAATATCACTAAAAATGTATCTAAATCTAAAAGGTGTCTCAGCTAAAAAGTAAGCCACCTACAATGCTGTGAATAATTATAAACTCCAAGTAACATTTACATTTTCACCGATGTTCAAACAAAAGCCAAAAAAGAATCATATTCGTATATTTCTATTTTCTATTATTTCTGATATAGAAATATGTAAATATGATGCTCTATTAAGTATTTGCTCAAATATCACTAAAAATGTATCTAAATCTAAAAGGTGTCTCAGCTAAAAAGTAAGCCACCTACAATGCTGTGAATAATTATAAACTCCAAGTAACATTTACATTTTCACCGATGTTCAAACAAAAGCCAAAAAAGAATCATATTCGTATATTTCTATTTTCTATTATTTCTG